GAGAGGTTATTAGTGAAAGGGAAGCAATGCAAATGTTCCAGCTGGACTAGAAAGTAAGAATCTGTGTTTGTCACCCCGTCCCCAAGGAACAGGATTCACTAGCACCCTGCACCTCGTGCATTCATTTACACCAGTCAAAAGTGGCTGTGAAAGGCTGCCCAATGAGAATGGTGACACTTGTGTTCACTGTGCATTGGGGTAGGGGACTGAACAAGAGGCAGGGCAATGGAGAACCAATATAGACAATATAGCCTGGTTCTCTGCATCGCTAGTCTCTCTCCCAATGAGGGAGCGACTCTCCTCAGATCCCCGGCACAAGGGACAGAAATATATTTTAGCTGGGCTGTCTAATAATATGATCCCAAACAAGGAAGGTCTGAGCACACTTTCTTTGCCTAATAGGCTGTGTCTACACTGGGCCACTTGTTCCGGAAAATCAGCCACTTTTCCGGAATAAGCTGCGAGCTGTCTACACTGGCCCTTGAATTTCCGGAACTATTCCGGAAAAGCTACGCTGCTCCCGCTCGGGCATAAGTCCTTATTCCGGAACACTGTTCCGGAAAAGGGCCAGTGTAGACAGCCCAGTAGTCTTTTCCGGAAAAAAGCCCCGATCGCGAAAATGATGATCGGGGCTCTTTTCCGGAAAAGCGTGTCTACATTGGCCACAGATGCTTTTCCGGAAAAAGGGCTTTTCCGGAAAAGCAGCCTGCCAATGTAGACACTCTTTTTCCGGAAATACTTATAACGAAAACTATTCTGTTTTAAGCATTTCCGGAAATTCATGCCAGTGTAGACACAGCCATAGTGTATTGATCATTATGTATCTCCAGAGATAGCCTGCAATTCAACTACTTGACTTTTGTTGGAACACTTACTACTAAAAAAAAATTTGGCTACTTAGTTTTTACCTTTTTTCTTATAATCCAGCTGTACAAAGCACAGGAAAGTGCCCTTAATGAAAGGCCATTTTAAACAATATTCACTGACGTGTGTAATTTGTTTGGGATAAATTGTCCTGGGCTTTTAGGGTCATTTATGTTCCTACATATCTGTAACCATTTTTGATTTGCAGGTACATTTGTGGCAATTAGTCAAAGCTTCTGATAGTTCCAGATAAACTCAGCAACTTGGCTTAGTTTCATTTATTTTTCATCCTAGAATCAGAACAGCACTGCCAAAGAGTAATACCACTGGGATATTATAAAGTCATGATTACCTAGTTCAGTTGCATTAATTAAAAAAAAGATTGAGCTTAATGGTGGGTTAAGTGCTGCTGAAATCTACTATCTACATGATCTATTTGCACAAACTCCCTCATAGCTACTTTTAAAATGCTAGGCCGGAATTCACATAATTCCTGTTGGAATCACTGGGAATTCAGGGCTTTCAACCAGCCCAACAACATCAGACTGGCTGGATTCTGAAAACTGGTTACCGTTTTGTAATGGGTGAGGAAAAGCAAATCAGTGGGTTCTTTTGTTTTTGTTGTAAGTCTCTGCAGAATCTAAAACCCATCCTGAAAGGGATTAATTTGGTCTTTATCAGTGGAATGAACACAACATACAGGTGCCAAGTTATCAGTCTTTTGAATGTGGTAAACAAAACCCAGAATGAAATAAGAAGGGGGAAGCAGCACACACTAATCCACTCCCATGACTGTTTCACGATTAAAATCTTGCAGTCCTCTGGCACTTGACAACTGGTTTTGATGACACCGTGGTGACAGCTGTCTTCTGGAGTGCCAGCATGTACTGCAGCTTGCATTATCTGTATTGTGGTAGCTCCCAAAATCACCAGTGCTGGGAATTTGTAACACTAGGCCTCTTAGCCTAGAGTCTGATAGAGACAGTCCTTGCCCCAAAGATGAACCCTAATTTCCCTTTTAGCAATGAACATGTAGCTGGGTGGTGACATTTTCAGGGTGGATAATGGGGCAGCATATCCCCCACGCCCCCAATGCTTCCTTCAATGAATTCCTTCCTGATTAGTCTGTAGGAATGATTGCCTCTCCATGGCACAATTCACACACACGGCTGCCTCAAGGTGGTTCCTGTCCGGGGGGATGGGGGTAGGAGGCCTAGGGGTAATTGTGGAGTCCCCCCCCCTAGCAATAACCCTGCAGTGGCAGCTCCTGTAACTCCAGTCCTATTGGGGTGTCTGAGCCCAGTTCTCTGCCTGGGATGTTGTGATCTCCGGGGTCGTTAGGTGAAACTCATGCCTTCATTTCCCATATGTAAAATAGAAGTAATATGAATAATAATCCTCTGTCTTAGCTATTTGGACTGCAAAATCTTCAGGACAGGGACTGTGTCTTAGTAGGTGTCTGTACAGGGTCTTGCACCATAGGCACCCCAATCTCAGTTGGGGCTTTTAGGTTTTAGTGTATCCCACTGAATTAATCTTGTGACTATAACTAATTGATAACATGCTTCTCTACAGAGGGGGCCTCACTGAATAGATGAAAAAGAAGAACTTCAGGTATCAGAAAGCAAATTAAATTGTTTGGTGCAAACATACACAGCGGATTCTCTCTTTTGTCTACAGCACAGGAACTCAAAAGCCAGCTCCTTTTATTTTGCACCACACATTTTTCTGATTATAATAGCTATTTAGTTGATCAATAATGACAGTCGGATTGTAAATTCATTTGCAATAGACAATGGACTGGAGCCTTTCAACCTCCTTGTTGTGTCTAGCAAGTACAGGAGAGTAATGGCGTATTGTCATAATTGCAGAGCTGTCAAATTCAGCCAGAGTGCTAATAGCAGGATTATTATTTAACAGATCGGTCTCCGTGAGGCTGTGTTTTATTCTGCTTCATTTGGTGGGTTTAAAGTGTTTTTAAGAATTCAACACCTAAAACCAAAGTCATTGTGAGTTCAACAGAGAATGCATTAGAGGTGCTCTTGTCCAACCTACCCGTCTGCAATTTGAAATAATTGTTTCCAAATTAATAGGGCAGGCTGCTGAACGCATGAATCATTTTGACAAGTAAACAGCTAATAGATTCATAAACTCTTTGTGGTATCTTGCCCGATGCCAGCCCAAGACTGGGGATCCAAACTGAAACCCACCTATGTTATGAGTATAGTTGATTTGTGACCTGGCTACTGCACTGTTGCATTGTGTGGTCTAAATGGAAGCATAACCTATATTCTGTAATTAGGAAAAAACACGGGATCATCTAGCTCAATTCTTGTTTATGCTACATACTGGGGGAAGCAAGCTGTAAATGGGTCATTGAATGAGTGCTGCAAAGTCTCCTAGACCAGCAGGGGCCTTGCAGTGCTGCAGATTCAGCACAGACCATGTCATTGAGCTTCACCATTATGTGTAAAAGCCTTTTCTACTTTGTAAAAATTATTTCCCCATCACAGTCTCCTTTCTTTGCACTTATGCCACAGTAACGGTCAGAAATAGGAAACCATATCCCACATGATGGGCCATGAAGAATTTATGGGAATAATCATCTGTTTAACATAATGGCTAGCCATGAGCCCCAACTCTCTCCCCTCCCCGTGATCAAACACACCCGAGCACTGACCCCAGATCTGAGTTTGGGTTGCAGGAGGGGGGAAATCTATTAAAAACATGGACATTCCTGTGTATGGAATTGCTGCCACATGTTCATCTTAACCAGGGTGAGGTATGCAGCAAAGCAGCAGTGAAAGGGGAGTGGCTGACAAAATATGCAAATCCTAAGCTTCTAAGGGGAAAGCAGATCATGGCCAATTCCCAAGGATGGCCTCTTCCTTCCCACTCCCCACTTCCATGTGCTCCTGTCTGAGCCATGTTAGACCCTGGAGATCATAACACTCAAGGTAGTGAGCTGAGCCCAGACACCACGGTAAGACTGGCAACTCCCACCCTCAATTAAACACTCTCCACTCTCCTTCAGAGGGAAGTTAATGCTGCTAATTCTGCCACTGACCTATTTTGTGGCTTTGGTCAAAACCAGCCAACATAACCTCTCCAGGCTAGACTCTACATCTCACCGCACCAGTTTTAAGCCTACTGGACATTACTGAAGTTAGTGGGAGCAGTGGGCCTGATTTTCTGCTGCCTTGAATCTTCTGTCTTCATTTACATCACTTGGAGTTGGTAGGGCTTTATGTCCACTGTACACAGATGTAAATGGATCAAACTCCCTGCGAGCATAAATAACCACAGATCTCTGAACACTGACCCATTGACTTCAGTGAAGTTTGGCACATTTTAAAGGAGCTGAGAATTTGGTCTATAAGGGAGTGGAGAATCAGGCCTAATAATTATTAATAATAATTATAATTACATACGTACATGATTGATATTTTGAAGATTTATTATTTACTGAATGGGGCTAATTCTGCCACTTAGACTCAATGAGCAGTCACTTGAGTATGGGCTGTAAGGATGAGCCCTACACACTCGCTGTCATAAATGTCTATAAAATAAACATAGTGACTCCAAACAGTACAATAAAAGAATTTTTATGCACCAGCTCAAAATTTATTATAATACAAACAAGTTTGTCAAACACAATATATCCTCTAGTTATGAAAATATCAATGTTTACAACTTTAAATAGGTGATAGGTCTCGTTATTATAATTTTATATACTCAGCATTGTGTTTAAAAATGATTTTGTTGATAGCTGTGATTTTGAGGATATACACCTGCAAATAATTGTTAGATTGTCCGTTCACAGCTTCTTTTTCTTCTAATTGTAAGTATTTGAAATATAAGTTAAATTAAGTACAAAATCCTCTCTCTGCAATTAAGATACTTCCTTCTCCAGAATATTTTATTTTCCTAAATAATGAGATAGCAAGTGCTTGGCTGTTTTTACTATAGGAAAATTAGGAGGTACAAAGAATACAGCATGACACTGGCTAGTTAACAACAGTCATTGCAAGATGCTTCACAAAACTAAAATATAAGGCAAGGATCATCAACAGCAGCTCTCATATAGTGGACTAAAAAGTCAAGGCTTTATTTCCCAAAGTGCCCCCCCCCCCCCCCCCCAAAACTTCAGAATATTTCTTGTTAATAAATTATGGCCTAATCAAAACTCCATTGACATCAATGGGAGGGTTTTATTTTTACTTCAGTGTGACTTTGAATCAAGCCCTTAAATACCCAAAATCATTGGAAATAAACTGGTTGATTAAATACCTATGAAAACAAAACCATGTCATTCCAAAGACTGATATGAAAAAAGTAGTGAGTTTTTTTTAAACAAGATTATGATAACTTGATACCTATTGTTCAGAAATCAAATTTTCACACTAAAAGATTGTTACAATTTTAAATATGGTCATTTATGAAAATAAAAATAGAAGTAAGAAAAAAAGATCACACTGCTAGTTTGCAGGACCAACATCATATTAAGAAAAGTAATAAATCTCACAATGTATATGGCAGGTGATTATTCCATACACTGAATTGAAATACATGTATTTTTTTTAAAAAAACCTAAACTTTCAGTTACGTATGTAAAGTTACTAATATATTAAGGAGAATAGTGACATTTTTGTATAAATACATTTTGTTTTCAATATTAGATACATTCTCAAAAATGAACAACTTATTCTATATAGATATATTGCACTTTGACTTATTCACATGTAACTCAGACTAGCATTCTTCATAACCAGTTTAAAGTTAAAAAAGAGATCAATATAGTGTCTTCCCCCAAATTAAATAGCTAGTACCTTTTTAAAAAAGGCAAACTTTGGTTAATATCAATTCATACAGAAGGAGAACAGAGAGAGAGAGCTTGGGGAATGGGGGGAAAAAGGACAAAGACTAATAAATAGGCAAGTAAATGAGTAGTAAAGGGGCTAATGATTTTACCTTTATTTAGTTGTTGGTAATGCCACCTTCAGAGGTCTAGTGTCACCTTATGTTTTATTATTGCAATTACTGGTTTGCATACATCCATTGTTGTCATGATTAGAGGGAAAAGATCCCAGGCTGGGGTTTTGTTGGTTTATTTTATCCTCTCTTCCTATTTCAAAAGATTTAATTCTTGTCATGCTGCTTTGAGGAAAGGGTCAAATTCTTATCTCAGGCACATCTCTGCCACCTGCTCCCCCCCTTTCTGATTGAATTGGAAAATCATTAGACTGTATAACTCAGCAGCCTAATAGAGGAGGTACTGAGCACCTTGCAGGGAGGTCCTGAGCACCCTGAACTCCCATGTGTGGAGATGAGATGCTGATCAGAATGGGCCCAATGCTGCTTACTTGCCTGAGTAATCTCATTCTTTTCCCAATAAGCCCTACTTCCATGTGAGTAAAGATCTGTCAGAGCAGCCAGATTGGACCTGTTCCCTTTCTGCTTTGTACCTTGTATACTCAAAAGCTTGTCTCTCTCACCAACGGTAGCTGGTCCAATACAAGATATGACCTCACCCACCTTGTCTCTCATGTGTCTTGTGTTGTCATTTATGCTTGTGCAAAGTGCATTCTTATTTGGCAGCTGTATACATCCATGTTGCACTCCCTTCCCACATGAGTAAATAGCTACACAATAAGCAAGAGTGATGGGGAATCAGGTCACTGGGACTCGTGGGTACTTAAATAGTAAGACCTCAAAGCATGGCAGACTTTCAATATCTACAGATTTTATGGAGTCTAGTTCTAGGACACGCTGAGTGACCTCTATTTCCCCTTTAGAAGCATCTGAAGATGTCACAGCATTGGGTCTTTTGTGAGCTTCCTGCTCGCAATGAGGCACATACATCAACACCTTGCAAACAGTGGGCTTCTCTCCCCTTGGAGGTTATCAGTTGACAAGCCCTTATGCTCATTGACAAAGCTGTGCCTGTGTTTACCCTGCAAGGAAATATTATCTTACATTCTTTGTTAAGGCCTTTGTTAAGTGCTCAACAAGGAATTTATGTGTTATGATGCCTACTTTGTGAGACCACATACCAACAACAAAGAGGGATAACAGCAAATGAAATGCCTCTAAGAAGCCTTTTGTCGATATCATCATCCTGTGTCTTTTAGAGTGTTGCCGATATGCTTCATATGAGCGTGGAGAAAGAGCATTTAAATATTTGTCCTAGTTAAAGTACTTTAAAATTCACAGTCCAGGCATTTTGGGTAGACTTTGTTTTACTGTTGTGGAGTCTTTAATATGTTGAATCCACACACAAATATTTGACTATTAAACTAAAAAACTAAAAGGTAAATCTGGGATAACAGAGCTCAAACTCTCCAAACAAGTTCTCATATTTAATTCTTGCATGTATAATTTCTAAAGGCCCAGTCATGAGGGGTGCACATTAGTTTCATTGGCTCCAAAGGGACCTGTGGTGTCTATATTTCTCATTAAATGCATAGTCAGGCTCCCCAAGTCTCTTAGCATGTCAGGGAGACTCCAGTTTATAATGAATAAAAACTCCTGACTCCTGATTTAATGATGTTATCTCCTGCAATGTAGGAATGTGGCCGGGGGGCCAGAAATCCAGCAGTGCGAGGTCTAGGGAAGGGGTGCAACATCACAAATGCTGTGCTGCATGTTGTAGCTAGAGAACCAGTGAGTAAGAGCTGGGACTCTGGGAGGCAGGTCAGCCCCAGGGGCCAGGAGGTAACAGTTTGGGGGTAATTGCAAAGAGGCCTCCCAACTGAAATATCCCTGAAATTAACTTTAAAAGTTGGTCAGTGTACATGCAGCACCTCTCAGAATTGGGTCCCATGGGATCTCTGTACCTTGCAGGACTGGGCCCCAAACTTATGAGCCTTTGGAGATTCTAATTAAAGTCATTGGAGATATATTCTGCTTTTGTTCTTGGCTGAAGAAACCTCCCTCCTTCAAACTCCTCCCCTTTGGTCTCTGTCTGAGATAAAACAACTTAAAGCATATAAATACTGGCAGCTTGCAGGATTGCTTTTCATGCCAAGGTGAAACAGCCATCCTTCAGCCTTGAGTTCAAGCGAGCCCAGAGGGGCTTGTCACAGTTCAAATGTCTTACAGATGGCTCATTGCAGAAAGTCCTGGATAGAAGGTTCTGCATGTGGGGATATTTCATGTCAGAAATGACACATTGTTTCAGGCAAGTGCACGCAGTGCAAATGATACCTTCCAAAATTCGCAAAGCGTTCACTTTGTCAATAGTGAAGACCACGAGAGAGTCACAGAAGTTCTTTCATGGTTGCAATTAAACATCTTTGTGGCTTTCCCCCCAACAACTCTGTCCTGCGCCAGTGCTTGCACATGGACACTTGTTAGCTATTGAACATGAAGACTCATACTCCAAAGCATATTCAAAATGCTATGTAACAAGAAAGAGGCATTTTGCCTTCTCATTCCAACTCCCAAAATGAATCACTCCCATTCTCTTCTAACAGTCTGATCTGCCTTTAGTCCATCAGGGAAATGAAATCAACTGACCACTTTTTTAAAACAGCCATGTCAGCAGTTGACATCCTGGAGATGTAACTGCTTGAAAAGAAGATGCATCCAGAGACACCAACAATCCCCTTTCACGGTGATATTTTTATAGGTTTTCCATTTTTATCATACTGGTAAACAAGCATTTTGATGCAGTGAGAATTGGCAGGGGAAATCCAAGGGCTGCTAGTTATTGAAAAATTATGGTTTGTATAGAACTGAACTGGTTGTTTTTGACACCTAAAGAAAACCTTTAGTGTCGCAGCTGCCATTGTGCGAAATCTCTTGCTAATGAAACAATAGAGGAAAAAATTAATTGCAGTGTTCAACAGTGCTAGCATATTGGCAATATCTGACACAATATGTACCAACCAAGTATTATTTAAAGGTGATACGTAGAGATGATACAGTATCATGATTATTCTTGGTGCCCAAAGTATGGCAAAAATAGAAGTTATAGTAAACAAAATGGCTGTTGTTTTCCCTGTGGAATATCCTCTCAGTCGGAAATTGCATTTTCGTCTGAGCTTGTACACAATGATGGAATTCAGAACGAAGAAAATGGAACATGGTACCAAGTAAACAGTAAAGCAGTGGATCCAGATAAGGACATGATGTACAGATGTGCTTATGTAGTCTTCAATCCAAATATTGGGCCACCAGTAGTAGGGGATGCTGGTCAAAAAGCAGGTGATATAAACACACAAAATGACTTTTCGAGTACGAGCTGGATAGGACACTGTGTGATACTTAAGGGGATGACATACTGCAATGTACCTATCAATAGTTAATGGCACAGTAATCCAAATGGACGTATGTATGGAAGAAAATTCCAGTACCTCAATTATTTTGTCCAGTGTCTGAGGCATCTGTTTATTCAAGATGAAGTCTTCCAGCAAAAAGTCAACAAAAACAATGAAAAAAAGTACCAGTATGTCAGCAGCAGCTAGTGCTAGAAGATAGTTGTACGAGGACTTCTGCCTGCGAACCACCAGCTGTGATAGAATGATCACTGTCAGGATGTTTGCTGTGGAGAAAGAAAAGTGCAGTGAGTTTCATAGGAGGTAGAGTTAGGCTTGTTAGAACGTTTGATTGAGCTGTAGCTACATTTGAGGTGTTCTGTAGCAGAACTATCTTCATTTAAGTCCAAGAAATCAAAAGAGTGAACTCGTACACTGGCTGTGCCAAATCCAATCTAATCAGCTGTCAACTCAATCCAGCCCTGTAGCAATGTGTTTAGGCAGGTTTTAGCTGTTTTGTATAGACGAGGCAGTGGCTGTTGTTTGGAATGAGTCAAAATATTCTGCTCAAAAATTATTTTTGGTGAAAATGGCTCTTTTTCTTTGAAAAACGTATTTTGGTGTGGGAAATACTTTTTTTTTTTCAAAAATTTGTTTAAAATTTTCATAAAAAAACCTTAGTTGTTATTTCTAGTTTGTCTCCCCTCCCTTTCTTTCCTCTTCTCCACAGCCCTTTCCTCTCTCTTTTCAATGACAGAAAGGAAAAAGAAGGTACAAAAGGGACTCTATTGCAGCTCACTTGATTCCCATCTGTGTGTGTGCGCGTGTGTGTTTGAACTCTAGGGCAAAGGACTGGAAATTATACTGGCCTTGATAGGTCATTTTAACTTGATCATTTTGGGGCTCAATCCTGTGGAGTGCTGAGTGTCTCCTGAGAAATGCATGCCCTCAACTCCCACTTTAGGAAGGTGTGGCACTCTGAACCATGCCTGAGGCTCTCAGCACTTCACAGGCCTTTTCTAGCATGGCAGTTTTACTAACTCTTCATTTAGGATCCATGTTGACGTTGCTGCCACGAGCTCTGTCCACTCCCCAAACAGTTCCTTGCTTAGCCAGAAATATTCCTTAAGGATACATATCTGACTATGAGGCCTTGTATCTGTTGCTGCTACTAGAGTATTTCTGAGCCGTTAGGAGGAAATGCAATTCAACTGAAACATTTATACTTGAATAAAACTCTTTGAATTATGTACAATCTGACTCAACATCGCTGAAGAAATCCCATTCACTTCTTTTTTGTCTAAGACAGGATTTTTCCTGCAGCCCCATGGCCGCTGTGCAGTAAGCCCATCACACAACCTATGCCGAAAAGAAGGATTGCATGCTGCTTAAATAACACAACAATATGTTGCCAACGTATCACAGAGCTTACATTCCATTACATTTTATTGCGTACTCTTGTTTTATGCAAAACGCCTATTGCTACCACTGGCCTTTTCATCAACGTAAGGTATGCTAGAGTGGTCCCATCCAAAGATTGATTAAATTGGCTAGACTGGCCATAGTAGTGCTTCAACAAAGATGGAGATTTGATTTACTGACAGTATGGCTTGCCAAATATTTGTGTTTGACATATTCCTAATTGCTGTAATCTCTCCCCTGCATCTAAACTTCAAGGCTGTGTCTACGCTGGGCCACTTATTCCGGAAAAGCAGCCGCTTTTCCAGAATAAGCTGCGAGCTGTCTACACTGGCCCCTTGAATTTCCGGAAAAGCAGTGACGATTTACTGTAAGAAATCAGCTGCTTTTCCGGAAAAACTATGCTGTTCCCGCTCGGGCAAAAGTCCTTTTTCCGGAAAACTGCTCCGGAGTAGTCTTTTATGCAAAAAAGCCCCGATCGCGAAAATGACGATCGGGGCTTTTTTCTGGAAAAGCGCGTCTACATTGGCTACAGACGCTTTTCCGGAAAAAGGGCTTTTCCGGAAAAGCAGCCTGCCAGTGTAGACCCTCTTTTTCCGGAAATATTTATAATGGAAAACTGTTCCGTTTTAAGCATTTCGGGAAATTCATGCCAGTGTAGACACAGCCCAAATGTTTAATGTTAAATTCTGCTTCTATAGATTGCTTTCCCAAGGCAAACCAAGAAAAATTATGAGGACTTACTGAAATCAGAAAGAGCAGAATTTATTAAAGTAAAATCATAGAATCATAGAACCATAGAACTGGAAGAGACCTCAGAAGCAATGATGCCCTTGTACGCGTATCCTAAAACTGAAATGAGAATGCATATTATTTAACTATCATTTGGCAATTAAGACAACTTTTGACTTGAGAAGGCCTCCCAAGTTGGCTTTCCCAAAGCAAGTTTTTAGCTACTGGAGAAAAGGGTCAGACAAAATGAATGGCAGGAGTAACCACCGTCAGCATCTCAATGCTGGGATTCATGAAAATTCAAGAGAATGATTGATTAATTAAAATCACATCCTGGAACAAAGCAAACTCTTGCACAATGGCTAAATCAAACTTTATGTGATCAAGGTATCAGAACCATTTATATGAAATGTAAAGTAGAACCTTCCCCAGAGTATTACGTTAAGACTCTCTTTGGGTGTGTCTAGACTACAGGGTTTTTTGAAAGAAGTGGCCTTTTTTCGAAAAAACTTCCTCTGAGTCTAGACTGCTGCCACGCTCTTTCGAAAGTAAAACGAAAGAACGCGGCAGTTTTTTCGACCATGGGAAACCTTGTTTTACAAGGAAGAATGCCTTTTTTCAAAAGTGCTCTTTTGAAAAAAGGCGCTATGTAATGCAAACTGTGCTTTTTTGAAAGAGAGCATCCAGACTGCCAGAGGTGGCTCTCTTTCGAAAAAGCAGCTTGCTTTTTCAAAAGTACTGGTTGTAGTCTAGATGCTCTTTTTCAAAAGAGGCTTTTTCAAAAGAGGCTTGCAGTCTAGACGTAGCCTTTCAGATTCGTTTTTTTCTGTGATTTAAAATAGGAATGTACCAGGCCTGACTCTCCCTTCTGCTACACCAGTTTTACATGGGTATAACACCATTGATTTCAACTTAGAACAGCATCAGGTGTCTGGTAGTCTGAGTGACTGCAGCCTCTCCCCGACGTATGAACCGGTTACAGACCAAGCAATTGGTCCGTAACTCGGTTTGTTTGAAAGTCGGACCCCATAGAGTTACACGCGACCGCGCTGTTCATAAGCGCGGATTGCGTTCGTAACTCAGGGTCCGCCATTTACAACAGCTTCAGTTGTAAATGCGAACGGTCGTAAGTCAATCGTTCGCAACTCGGGGACTGGCTGTATTTTCATATTTTTCAAGAAAACCTTAAGCTCTTAGGGTATGTCTACACTGCTCGCTTATTTTGGAATAAGCTATTCTGGAAGATATATTCTGAAATAGCTTATTTCACAATAGAACGTCCACACTATAGGGAAGTCTCAAAATTAGTCTGAGGCAGGCTCCCCAAAAGTGGATGCGCTATCTCGATTTAGAGCCCCAGGAGGGACTGGGAAGGAATAACTTAGGGTACGTCTACACTACAACGTTAATTCTAACTAACTTAGTTCGAATTAGTTAATTCGAACTAAGCTAATTCGAACTAACGGATCCAGACTTAAAAACTAGTTCGAATTAGCATTTTGCTAATTCGAACTAGCATGTCCACATTAAGTGGACCCTGAACCAGGCTTTAGGATGGCCGGAAGCAGTGCCGGCAGGGCATCAGAGGGGGACTTAAGAGCGTGGAGATGCTGTCTCAGGCTAGCCGAGGGCTGTGCTTAAAGGGTCCCGACCCCCACCCCGGACAGACAGTTCTCAGGGGTACCCCGCTTGCAAAGCAGTCCTGGCTTGGATTGCCCGGAGTACCCACACTGGGCACATCACAACACTCGGCCATCAGACCGGCTGCACTTGCCGCAGGCTGCCATCTGCGGAGAGAGGGCAATTGGGGGGCTGCAGGAGAGCTTCCACCCC